ACGCCACTGGGCAAAATGTACGTCACAGCGTCAATACATAAAGTCCGGGTCCGGGAACGTTCAGCCATAGTGAAAGTGAGGCCTGGAGCACATGTCGACCATCTTTGGCATTCACAAGCTGCAGATACTGGTGCCGGTATACAGGCACCATGCCATGTGAGTGCAAAACCGTTTGTCTTATGATTTTAATGTACATTTAATAAATACTACACTTAGAAGGATTTTTATCTGTCTGGTTTATCTGAGCGGTCTGGCACTAAACCTCTTTAAGGATTAGCCCGCACTGAACACCATAGCTGAATCAGAGGTTATGCTGGGAATCCCAATGCTTTAGCTTATGGCCATATTAGCGTAGAGCCGCTGGAGGGGAGTAACATTCTAGGAGAACCTAAGAGGATGGTCCCCTATATGACCAAAAAGTGCATCTGACCACCTTAATTGGGGTCAAAATGTCTGGTGAGTGAGCAACTTATATATACCTTGGTGGCACATGGTGAAGATATAAAGTCACTCTCTTTGTTGGGTCACAGCGTAAAGGAATAGAAAGGGTTGTCACCTTTTTTCTTATCTTTAATTCACTTTTGGACTTATATTGATTATGTGTCTTTTATGTTTTTTGTGAAGTTAGTGGAAAATATAGCACCCCCTATAGGTGCAACACATAAAATCTAATGGTTTGGTATAGGGGCATGTCGTGAAACAAACCTTTGATATGTATATGCACATTATATATGTAGCGCCTGTCTATTTACAATTATTAGTGAGCGCGCTCTTAGCATATAAACTGAAAGTCCAGCAACACATATGTGTGTGGACAATAAAGCCATAAACCAAAAGCGATTTCTCCTGTGCTCCGGGACCCAGGCCGGTGGCGAGTAGATGGAATTAGAACCTCCAGAGAGGCGACCACCGGAGTATCCAAAGTCGTGCAGCTCCAAACCAAGGCTGGGGAAGCCCGAACAAACTGTGAAGTGAAACAACAAGAGCTCTGAGGAAGAAGGCTTGACCTTCGAAACGCGTCAGCTGGACTGAGTACCTACACCCATGATGGGATTCGCGCTGGCCTCTTGCTTTTGAAGTCCCTGGGTGGACTTAAATGCCTGTTTTTATTCGCTGTTTGTGAGTACCATTCCTTCATTAAATAAATTTTGGTTACTGAGGTAATGCACAAGGTTGGTGCGCTTCTTGTTGTTTCACTTCACAGTGTGGACAATAAAGCCCATCCTTTACCGCTGCACATGTCTTGGGTGGTTGGAAAGGGGTTCAAATCATTACATGCATTTACATGTAATCAAAACTGTCTTATGGTCCACACACCATGCACACCAGAATGTGGTGCAGAAAACCCGCATTCTGTGCGTGTTTCCCACACCATGTTCAAAATGCACTGTGGTTGCAACCTGTAGCAAACGTAAGTTGCAAATGCAGTGCATTTTCCTGTACCCGATTGCATAGTACAGACGTACCATGCAATCCGGTTGCAGTGCATTATCAAAAGTAGTGTATGCACTAGACAAAATGAAAGTGCAGAAGGCTAAAGCACATATCCACTTTATTGTATAAAAAAGCAGCTTAAAAACACTACTGTATGCCAGTGGGGGAAAAAAGGTTCATGCGTATCGCACTAACCACAGCGCATAATCATAACCCCCGGCACACACGCTGAAGGATTGTGGAGTGTGGCAGTGGCGAGTCTACCTGGAGCAGCCCTACTTTCTCTGTCTATAGTGTATGCGCTAATTTTGGTGTGATGCAGTGGCACTTGAGCCCATTCAAAACGAATGGGCCCAAATCACACTGCACTGCATGTGAATTGCACAGGAATGTGCAGCGCGTTCCTGTGCGCTTCCAGGTGTGAAGAGACCCTGAAAACAGTGTGAATGGGGTCTGGTGGTGTCGGATGGACTGAAACATGATATCCCCGAGGTGTTCTATTGGATTTAGGTCAGGCGAGCGTGGGGGACATTCAATGGTATCAATTCCTTCATCTTCCAGAAACTGCCTGCATACTCTTGCCACATGAGGCCGGGCATTGTCATGCACCAGGAGGAACTCAGAACTCACTGCACCAGCGTAGGGTCTGACAATGGGTCCAAGGATTTCATCCCCATATCTAATGGCAGTCAGGGTGCCATTGTCTAGCCTGTAGAGGTCTGTGTGGTTCTCCATGGATATGCCTCCCCAGACCATCACTGACCCACCAACAAAACGGTCATGTTAAACGATGTTACAGGCAGCATAATGTTCTCCATGCTTCTCCAGACCCTTTCACGTCTGTCACATGTTCTCAGGGTGAACCTGCTCTCATCTGTGAAAAGCACAGGGCGCCAGTGGCGGATCTGCCAATTCTGGTGTTCAATGGCAAATGCCAGTTGAGCTCTATGGTGCTGGGGAGTGAGCACAGGACCCACTAGAGGACATCGGGCCCTCAGACCACCCTCATGAAGTCTGTTTCTGATTGTATGGTCAGAGACATTCAAAACAGTGGCCTGCTGGAGGTCATTTTGTAGGGCTCTGGCAGGGCTCATCCTGTTCCTCCTTGCACAAAGGAGCAGATACCAGTCCTGCTAATGGGTTAAGGACCTTCTACGGCCCTGTCCAGCTCTCCTAGAGTAACGGCCTGTCTCCTGGAATCTCCTCCATGCTTTTGAGACTGTGCTGGGAGACACAGCAAACCTTCTGGCAATGGCATGTATTGATGTGCCATCCTGGAGGAGTTGGACTGCCTGTGCAACCTCTGTAGGGTCCAGGTATCGCCTCATGCTACCAGCAGTGACACTGACCCTAGCCAAATGCAAACCTCGTGAAAAACAGTCAGAAAAGATGAGGAGGGAAAAAAATGTCTTTGGTCTCCACCTATAAAACAATTACTGTTTTGGGGGTTGTCTCATTGTTGCCCATCTAGTGCACCTGTTGTTAATTTCATTAACACCAAAGCAGCTGAAACTGATTAACAACCCCCTCTGCTACAGATAGATATCCCAGGAGTTTAATTGACTTGATGCTATACTCTGATTAAAAACTGTTCCTCTAATTTTTTTCAGCAGTTTATTTACACTAAGGCTAGGTTCAGATAAAGTCATGGCCGAAATTGTTGGCACCCTTGATATTTTTCCTGAAAATCAAGTATTTCACACAAAAAGGTATTGCATTAACACATGTTTTGCTATACACATGTTTATTCCCTTTGTATGTATTGGAACAAATATAAAACAGAGGCAGAAAAGCAAATATGACATAATGTCACACAAAACCCCAAAAATGGGCTGGACAAAAGTATTGGCACCCTTAACTTAATATTTGGTTGCACACCCTTTGGAAAACATAACTGAAATCAGTCGCTTCCTATAACCATCAATAAGCTTCTGACACCTCTCACACCGGAATTTTGGACCACTCTTCCTTTGCAAACAGCTCCAGGTCTCTCTTATTGGAAGGACACCTTTTCCCAACAGCAATTTTAAGATCTCACAGGTGTTCAATGGGATTTAGATCTGGGCTCATTGCTGGCCACTTTAGAACTCTCCAGCGCTTCTTTGCCATCCATTTCTGAGTGCTTTTTGACGTATGTTTGGGGTCATTGTCCTGCTGGAAGACCCAGGATCTTGGACGCAAACCCAGCTTTCTGACACTGGGCCCTACAGTGCGACCCAAAATCCTTTGGTAATCCTCAGATTTCATGATGCCTTGCACACAGTCAAGGCACCCAGTGCCAGAGGCAGCAAAACAACCCCAAAACATCATTGAACCTCCACCATATTTTACCGTAGGTACTGTGTTTTGTTCTTTGTAGGCCTCATTCCGTTTTCGGTAAACAGTAGAATGATGTGCTTTACCGAAAAGCTCTATCTTGGTCTCATCTGTCCACAAGACGTTTTCCCAGAAGGCTTTTGGCTTACTCAAGTACATTTTGGCAAACTGTAGTCTTGCTTTTTTATGTCTCTGTGTCAGCAGTGGGGTCCTCCTGGGTCTCCTGCCATAGCGTTTCATTTCATTTAAATGTCGGACGGATAGTTCGCGCTGACACTGATGCTCCCTGAGCCTGCAGGACAGCTTGAATGTCTTTGGAACATGTTTGGGGCTGCTTATCCACCATCCGGACTATTCTGCGTTGCAATCTTTCATCAATTTTCCTCATCCGTCCACGACCAGGGAGATTAGCTACAGTGCCATGGGTTGCAAACTTCTTGATAATGTTGCGCACTGTGGACAAAGGCAAATCTAGTTCTCTGGAGATGGACTTGTAACCTTGAGATTGTTGATATTTTGCCACAATTTTGGTTCTCAGGTCCTCAGACAGTTCTCGTCTCCTCTTTCTGTTGTCCATGCTTAGTGTGGCACAGACAGACACACAATGCAAAGGTTAAGTGAACGTCTCTCCTTTTTATCTGCTTTCAGGTGTGATTTCTATATTGCCCACACCTGTTACTTGCCCCAGGTGAGTTTACAGGAGCATCACATGCTTGTAACATTCTTATTTATCCGCAGTTGTGAAAGGGTGCCAATACTTTTGTCCAGCCCATTTTTGGAGGTTTTGTGGTCGAATTTGCTTTCTTTCCTCCCTTTTTTTGTTTTGTCCCAATACACACAAAGGGAATAAACATGTGTATAGCAAAACATGTGTTAATGCAATACGTTTCGTGAGAAATACATGATTTCCTGCTATCAAGGGTGCCAACAATTTCGGCCATGACTGTATGTGGGGTGGTGTCACTGCGGATCCACACCAAAATCCGTGCAGCTGCACCACCCATACAGAAGAATGCGGACACGCGGGCGGGGGCCATTAATTCTAATGGCACGCCGTCCTCACTGGAAATCACAACCGTACTAGGAACGAGGTTCCTGTGTGGACTGCGTTTTCAGAAGAAGCACAGGGACTTCTTCTCTGTGTGTCCCGGGGCAAATAAATGGGCTCTCGTGCCGGAGGAATGCAGATATGTGAACCAGGGTAATAGAAGTCTCCTGCTCTGACTACTCTTGCCAGTACACAGATGTACCTTTACCCTCCCGGCCAGTAGGTGGAGCTGTTGGCTCTTGTCCTTGATTTCCTCCTTCAGTGCCCCCAGTCTCTGATGCAGTGAGCCCACTTCCTCCGTGTGGCGCTCCCCCTGCTGGTTGATGTGGGCAGTGGCCGCCTGTAGCTGTGCCCGTAGCTCCTGTATGACGCGCTCTCTCTCCAGCAGCTCGGGGTGGCGCTCTTCTCTCAGCCGCTCACACTCGGCCCGCAGCTCCTCGTTCTGCCGCTTGTAGGTATCTTTGAAGCGGATCATCTCCTGATGGTTGTCGGCGAGCAGGCTGAACCGTTCCTCCAGCTGGTCTGCTCGTTTCCTCTCAGCCGCCAGGAGTGTCTGCGCCTCGGCGCTCTTCCTCTCCAGCTCCTCGTTCATTCTCTCCAGGCCCTGACACCGGAGCACAGTGTCATCGGCTCTCCGCTTCAGCAGGCAGATAAGCTGGGACTGCTCGTCCAGCCGGGACCTCAGCAGGCCGTTGTCAGCCTTCTCGTCCCAGGTCTCCTTCTCCCCCGGCATGTTACTGGCTACTAGTGAGTTCAGTAGGCTTGCGGGCCACTAACGTTTCCATGGAGACGGTTGATGCTGGGGGAGGTTTGCACATGCGCATTGAGCTGAGTATTCTGGCTCTATGGAGGCCAGGCTGATGAATACACTGCATATAGCACTGTCACTTACATTGGGGGAAACCTACACAATGGCCAGCTTTGGCTCTGTGCTTCACTCACCCATCTTATTCAGTAAAGCCTATAATAAGGGAACCTATCCCAGGGGGAGCTGCCATCAAACACTGGAGGTTACTATTGCCTGACACCCAGGAGCCAGGAGGGGTAGTAGTTTTGGGACATGAGGCTGTAGCTGATGCTGCATTTCTTCCCCAAGTTACACACAGCAGTTTCACAGAACGCACTGGCTTGCTGCTTTTTTGCTGGCTGATGTTGCGCAATGACACTTATTAAGTGTTCTTACATGGCAGACCACTTACTGTTATCTCACATATATATTATTATTATTACAGCCAAATTTACCACCCTAACTCCTCCCACAGTTTTTACACTACATAGACAGTAATATACCGAAACGTGTGGATTGTTCCCTATTGGTGTGCTATTACTTTGTGGAACGTTTCGCCGAATGGTTCACGAAATATCAGCGTTTTTGTGGTGAAATTGGTCCCATAGGAATGAATGGCGGAATGTTCAAAACTAGAGTGAGAACTGACAAAAGCTAGAATGTGAGATGAAAAATCAGGACATGATTTCTAAACTGCCATCACTTTCTCATTTTCAAGCCCACCTACACAAATCTTATATCAATACGTTCAGCTATCCCTGCTGTCACTAAAAATGTTTACGGCTAAGCCATAGTCCTGATAGTTTTCACAATATGACCATTTGTTTGCAACTCACGCCATCCATTGACATTTATTGAAACTCCACTCTAGCCACCTCAAATTTGAAGAGCAATTTCTAAACTGCGACTGTGCCTTCATTTTTAATATTTCAGAGACATACTATGCATCAAAATGTAGGTCTGGGTCTTGTGATTCTTACAATATAAAGCTCTTTGGTGTAGGATTTATAATTTTTAAACTACAACCGTTTGAAGATGGCAACCGCCAGTAAAGTGAGCAAGTTGGAGCAGTTTGTTTTTAACCGCTCTTCTCTGCCCTTGCTGTAGAGTGAGTTGCCATAGGAACCCAGGTATGTGAGTAGGCAGCAGAGTGACAAAAGCTAGAGTGTGAGCTGAAAAATCAGGACATGATTTCTAAACTGCCATCACTCCCTCATTTTCAAGCCCACCTACACAAATCTTATATTAAAACGTTCAGCTATCCCTGCTGCCACTAGAAATGTCCACGGCTAAGCCATAGTCCTGATAGTTTTCACAATATGACCATTTGTTTGCAACTCACGCTGTCCATTGACCTTTTCACAATTACTCCAGCCACTCCAACCACACAACAGTTACTCAAGCCACTCCACCCAGTTACTCGCCCACTCCAGTTGTAGACTACTGGTGGAGGCAAGAACACTTCACACAATTTCCCCAGAAATTGTAGCTTTTCTAGTTATCTATATAATCTTCCACAAGTTAGATGATACCAACCTCTGCTGGGACATGTGGCTGTCAAAGTGACAGGTTCTCTTTGAAACTGATAAAAGAATCTCTTATGAAGGATTTAGGCTACATTCACACCGGCGATTGACTTGTAGTGGGATTTTCTTCTATGGTTCTCAGCGGCTAGGTGCGGCCGCAGCCCCCCACTCACTGTAATACAACCAGAGAACAAGAAAACCACCTCCTGCACACAAGAGTGGTGAAATGATGGAAATACTTCTGGTCCTTGAAAACATCGGCACATGCCTTGCTGCTCTCTAAGGATTGGGGAAAACCCAAAGAACTCACTGCAAAAACAAGAAAACAGAGGGCGCACTGGCCTAGTTCAATACTTGAGTTACCTTTATTAAGTTAAAAGGAGATATAAACTCACAAACGACTGTGTTGACAAAGGCATATCAGCATCCAAAGCAATCACGTCACCAGATCTGCTCCCAAAGCACAAGAAGACCTTCAGATGGCTGATGCATTTCCAATGGCGATTCCCTCTTCATCAGAGCCATTCACTGTAATGAGAAGTTGCCAGTGGCCACAGCTATTTGAAGCTCTCTTCACAGCCAGCGATTATCTGCAGCGATCACTGCTGGATGCACACAAAAGGTTGCCCAGGTGTGTGACCACCGCAGGTAATTGCTGGCCTGTGCAGAGAGCCGTGAATAGTTGCGGCCCCTGGTGACCTGTCGTAATAGCGAATGGGGCCAGCAGACGCACCTACCCAATGAGAGCTGTAGCAGTAATCTCTGATTCCTGCCACTACTATTCACACTGGCCCTAATCACCTGCTATGATTGTAGCCTAATAGTTGCTCCCTTTTCAAGATTTAAAGTGGAACTGCACTGCATCTGGGCACCACAAACCAAAAATACTATTTAATTTATTGTTACTATTCAAAGCAAACTCCCCCATCCATCCATGTCTCCATGCTTTATTTTGCTGAGAAATCATTTTGAAAAACACCCCCTAGCATTTCTGTTCATGGCCATCTTGAGTAAAGGCAGATGATTTGTGTAGCATTTACTTCCTGGAATCCATCTACCCTTAGCTCCGGCATTGGCTAAGCTGAGAGCCCTCCCATCCTGAAGATCCTGGAATGTATGACATAATTTGCCTGAGCAAGGAAACCAGGAGTTACTGAAGAAATGCAAAAAAAGTTTAAAACAAGTAAATATGTTGTACTTTCCTATCTATCTACTAATGCTAGCAGCATAAGGATTAAAAATAGACCATGCTGATTGAGTGAAGTTCCACTTTATGCTCCCCACACATGGATCAAAATTTGGCCCGCTCGCAGAGACAAATCAAATTTCAGTCCAGGTATGTGCATTGTGGTTGAACAGAAATCATTCTACCAATCAATTTCTGCACAATCGCCCTGTCAGATTTTCACTGCTAGATCAGCAGTACTGGCTATAGCCAGCAGCACTGATCAGTGTATTCTGTTGGTGGGGAAATCTCCCTGCAGTCAGAATACAATGAACTCAGATCATCCTACTAATTGAATGAAAAAAAGCTGACTAATTGCTGCCTACTTTGAGGGCCTTTTAAAAAGGCTTTCTGATCAGGTACATATGTCTGTTTTTTAGGCAAACCCGATCGAAAGCTCCATATGGGTCAATGGACAGGCTGATGTGTCTGCTTACACCTGCCTACCTCTGAGTCTGTCCAGGTATGGGGAAAAAATAGAAATGGACTAGATCCTTTTTCATTTTTTCTGGACCTAAACGCGATGGATTGGAGGTATCCTGATCTAAATGGACACCTATTTTTATACATCTGGCTGCCCGTAGAGCCTTCCTGGGTTTGCCCCTGTCCACTGTATAAATTCAGGCACAAACTGAACAGGCACAGATGTATAAAACTGATATCTGTCCTATTCAGCTCTGATTCAGCAGGAGGTTTGCTCTTGGATCCCTTGTGGCATGGCAAGTCAGAAGTCAGGAGTTATCTGAAATTAACAGGTAACCCCCTTAGGCCCCTTTCACACAGGCAGTCTTCTATATGTGAGGCTGTGGGGTGGGGAATGCCTCCACCATTTATGACTAGTTGTCCACAATGACAGCTTCCTGGTGAGACAGCTCAGGCGGGGTTCGAAATGGTGTCCAAACCTACCGAAGCTAATCCCTACCTCTTCATCCAGGTCTAGAAAAAAAAAGTGAAAAAGGTTTTTTTAAACCTAAATGTGAAAGATCAGAGGAAGTGGGATGTACATAGATGCATGTGATTGTAAAAACTGGAGATAACGTTGCAGCTACCTAGTGTATCCAGATGAATTACACCTTGGTTTTTTTTTCAGGCAAATTGGGCCTTTGTTGTTAAGTGATAAAGTATATTTATTGTCAAAATGTTATTTTATTTAAGGATCGTCATTAGGGTACTCGTGCAAATGCTCCAATACCTTTTCGGTGTAATTTGAGCCCATATAATTTAATGGCATCAAATCGCAATGCAACGAATCACATGTGGTTTGAACTGAAATTGCGCTACTTCAGATGAAGTAGCGATGCGATTCCTGTCTGAATCACATATGGTTTCCCTATGGGTGTGGTGCGATTTGCACTGCATTCCTGTTCATATCACATGTGATTCTTTTCAGTGCAATTTGAGCCCATTCATTTTGTAGGGGCTCAAATCGCATTGCAAAGGTATCAGTACTCGACGAGTACTTGGGCACAAGTATCGGTACTTGTACTCGCCAATAAAAAAAATGGTATCTGTACAACCCTAATAGTGATCATATGAACCCATTTATTATCAAATAGTTGTTTGGCTCCTTTTTAAATCATAATGATAACAGAAATCACCCAAATGGCCGTGATCAAAAGTTTCCATAGCCTAGATTGTTTGGCCTTGGTACAGACACACAAGGAGACACTTACAGGTTAAAATGGTAATTAAAGGTTAATTTCTCACATCTGTAGCTTTTTTAATTGCAGGTAGTGTCTGTGTATAAAAAGTTGTGGAGCTTGTTAGTTTTCACATGGATGCACTGAGGAAGCTAGATACTGAGCCATGGGGGTACAGAAAAAAACTGTCAAAAGACCTGCTTAACAAGGTAATGGAACTTTATAAAGATGAAAAGGGATATAAAAAGATATCCAAAGCCTTGAATATGCCAGTCAGTCACTTATTAAGAAGTTGAAAAATTCAGGGATCTCTTGATACCAGGTAGACCAAGAATGATTGCAGACACCACTGCCAGAAGAATTGTTTGGGATACAAAGAAAAACCCACAAGTAACCGCAACAGAAATACAGGCTACTGTGTGGTGAGGCTGTTTCAAGGAGCACATATGACAATACTTGAACAAAAATTAGCTACGTTGCCAGAAAGAAGTCTTTACTGCATCAATGCCATAAAAAAAGCCCAGTTACAATATGCCTGACAACACCTTGACATGA